TTGTTTGGGGGGGGGACAGTATAGTTTGCCCGAACAGGCAAACTGAACATTAATATTTCTCCCCAAAAATGTTGGCGAGCGGGGAGGAGTGTCACAAAAAACTTTTTCCGGACATACCAAAAATACTTTTCCACAGATGAAAATTTGGCCGGATATATCAAAAAATACCGTGTCACCCCTTCCCCCCCCTCCCCTCCCCACGGCCCATACGCCCATGATGGCACTCCCCAGACTCTTATTCATACAGTTCTACGCCGCTCATTCGCGCTCAAGACTGTGGCATTGTACGTTTTGGATAATAAAAACAAAGCCAGGTGGGTGTTGCTCAATATTTTAGCAAAAAAAGCTAAAATCAGAACGCTTTAAAACACTTTAAAACAGCCGAGAACGTTGCAGAACGCTCGAAAACTAATGTGTTTATATGGGGGGGGGGGGGATTTCCCGCGCTTTTTTTGCCCGCTTGTTCCGCCATCTTGGATTCTTCAAAATGTCACTTAACCTAAATTTAAACAGCTACTTTTAAGGATTATTATACGTTAAGACTTACAATGACTCTGTTTCGAAATTGCATTGAAGAAATGCTGCCAGGGTTTTAACTTTCTTTTGACTGGCATGGACTTTCACTTTTCTTTGTGTACACATCAGTCGCCTGAAAACAGAGCAAAGGGTTAGGCCATGACCCGGACCTTGAATTAGCGCGCAATCGCTCTCCCACGTTTCTGCGCCCCTCATTTTGTTCCCAAGAGTGCGGCAATTTACAAGGTGTAAACAAAAAATACCTGTGGTTCCGGTTTCATATCGTGAAAAAATTATAGGGTCGGTAGGTCGGAAATAAATTTTTTTCTTGAATATTTTTTTCATGGTTTTGGCTGTATTTTGCTGGGCGATTTGTAGTAGAGTCCCGACATCAATATTACCTAGAGATGCGTATTTCCTATGGACGAATTTAGGCAATTTGGTTCAATAATTAGTGTGACAACAGACGCCATTTTGGCACGCTGTATGAGCAGCCCGCAACCACCTGCAGGGTCGCATGTAGTCCAGTCCCAGACCCTATTCTCGCCACACGGCGCGGCGGAGAAGGAGGGTCCAGAAGAATTTGCATGCGCATGCGTCAACTTGTCCAATCAAAACGGTTGCGATTGACTTCCGGGAGAAGGGAAAACCCTTACACCTGTTAAACGCGCGCGCAAAACGTAAACAACTCAGAGAAATAAAAAATGTCAGGTGAAGTTCGATGTCGAATATGCAATGGAGTCTGTCCGCCCGCTAGGAGATATGTACTTTACAATGCAGAAAATGATTATACATCAACAGCGATGCTGTTTTTCAAGGCATATGGTCTGTCTATTAGACGAGACAAGCCTGGATTGTCTCGCCATTGTTGTCGAAATTGCCGAAATAATGCGAATAGGGCCGTCGAGAAAATTAAAAGTTATAAGGAAAATATTAGTCCTCGAGGGAAAAGAAAAACAATACCATCCTCGCCAAATTCGATTAGATCTCCACCATCGAAAACATCGAGACCTAACGAAAGAAATTGTAGTTTCAGCCAGATCATTGCAGTTTTCCAACGACAAAGCACAGGTACGACGACATTATTTAAATTTTATTATAAAAAGACCAGTCTTTTGCCGAAGAAATATGCAACTATGTATATACTAACTGAAATCGGTGTTTACTAAATATTGCTGGTATGATATCCCAATATTGTCCGAGTGAGACTGTTTAAAAATACTTTATTTGTTATAGCTAGAAAGTTAAACTTGTCAAATTACACGTACGATAATTGCAATTTTGCATCGCTGTAACAAATAAGAGTTATTGTGACAAATATTGTATTGTGACAAAAGATAGGGTAATTAAATAAATTTCTATTTGATACGCAAAAATAGACAAGCTTTCTTTTACTGCAAACACTTTAATTTTATATAAATATAATGTGGTCGTCATAAAGTGCTTTACTCCTGGTCTTGCAGCCTTGGATGTGTTAATTATTGTAATTTTTGCACTAATATTTTAACACAAAATTAGGACGAATAATCCATAAACTTATTACAGACAATTCACGCCATTAAACCAAAAATATGAAGAAGTAGTATACATTGTAGAGGAGATAACCGAACGTATTTACTGTGTAGTTTCATCATCTTGTGTTTCTTTATATGACTTCGAGGGTGTAATTATCTAAATGTTTGTTATCATGTTCATTTAGCCATCCCATTCTAATGCAGCAAACACGACATCAAGTGTGAGCACGACGACATATCTTTCCTCACCCTGTCAAACATTTACTACAGTTTAAAATAAATCAAGTGAGTTCAGAGTAGGTTACTGTATAAAGTTACTTATTTGCAAGGCTAATTATATAACGTGATGAACCAAAGTGTAAAAAAATTTTTCCCTATCCAATCGTTGGTTATCTCGCCACATTTTCAATAATTTCAATAATCCTTTAAAACTTAGTATAAACATATGACAATTAGCCAAATTCTCTTGCAATAGAATGAGGCTCTGTAGTCAAGGGAAAGCACTTTGGCTAATTTATTTATTAAATTATTAAAATATCTAGCATAGACCTACCATTGTAGTACACAATGTGCCTCATCAATTGCCACACAAACAATATGCTCTTTCAGTTCCCTCAGAGTCTCCCTTACAGTCAAACTGGTAAATGCCTCAGGGGATAACAAAGCGATTTTGATGTTCGATTTTCCACGTCGAAGGTCCTCAACTTGTCGGTCTTTAAGATCGGTGAGCTTGAAGCTATGTATTCCTCGTTCGGCCATTTTAGCCATCTGATCATCCATGAGGGAAATTAGTGGTGAAATCAAAACGACGATAGATGAACGGCAATCGTTGTTTGGTGACGATCGCAGAGCATCGCAAACATATGGAAAGAGCGTGTAAATCAGCGACTTTCCGAAACCAGTTCTCAGATGAACGAATACATCTTTACCGCGAGACAGGTAATAGATCGCTTGCAATTGCTCAAACTTCGGCAAAAAATTATATTTACACATTCCCATGGCAAACTTAACGGCTTCAACAAATTCTCTGCCAAAAATATGAAGAAACTTGTTCTCAATCAGCGCTGCAAGAGTATCAGAACTTTCCTTTGACATTGCGGATTTTCCCCACAGTAAACAGAGCTTAGCGACCTGGCGACCTCCACATATGTGTGGTGGTAGTTGACGCATGCGCATGCAAATTCTTCTGGACCCTCCTTCTCCGCCGCGCCGTGTGGCGAGAATAGGGTCTGGGACTGGACTAGGTCGCATGGTCAATCGCGTTGAAAAAATAACAGGGTCGGCAGAAAAGAATAGGGTCGGTCGGGAACCGGAACCACAGGTTTGTTTTTTACGCCCAATGCACCTTAGCCAGTTCGGTTGGAAAATATGACACAATTTTAACAATTGTCCTGATCAGAGGTTCCGACAGATGTGACAAACAGGCATTACCTTTCGGAATTCCTTTTCTTGCATTAATCAGAGCATTAATGACACATTCCACACTAACGTGTAGTAATTCAGAATCGGACAAATCTATCACTGCAGAAGGCACTTCTAGATGGACATTGCGAGTGCAAATTTTATTCATTTATTAGATCTAACCAGGAGCAGTTGCCAAAAATGCAACTATAGGCCCTTTGGCAGGAATCAAACTTGCGACTCTGTGATTCCGGTGCAGCGCTCTAACCAACCGAGGTAGAGGCGTTGTCGAGCTCTAACTGTATGAAGATCATAAAAAAACGGAACCCATCTAAATTAATCATGTCTTCATTGCAATGATCAACTAATTACAATACAGTAGTTTGATATCTAATTTTGGTTCTGGATTACAAACAAACAAAGACTCTTGGAAACCGCGGACACATACGGTAAAATTTTTACGTTTTCTCAATTTTGCTCGTAGTTTTGAACATGAAAGTGACAGACAAATATGGACAATATTTGTTTAATAATATTCCAAGTAGAATCGTTGAAACTCGACAATAGTTTGTAGCTTGTGCTTGTATTAAGTACGGGTTCATGTATTTACTGTAGCTGCCGTTTTAAAGAGTTTTTTCGTTTATTAAAATGTCGTGATTTTGGCCGAGTTTGTTTTTCCCCTTTTTTGAGCCTTTTCAGTCGAGTTTTTCGATTAAATTTTAATCTAACCTTTTGTCTATGTATACTAGATTGTGCATGAAATGATTTGCCGCTATATTTTTCCAGATATTTTAAAGATTTTAACGACATTCGGATGCTTTTGCGTGCATTTTTATTCTGCTTTTTAACGTAAACTTTATTTAGTAACAATCCGGGAAGCCAGTTTGTGTTTGAAATTTTGGACTTTTTAAGCCTTGTTTCCTTTGCTTTTTGCCGGTATACTTACTATTTTACTGTTTTACGACATGTTTTCTAACTTTTTTTAAACTCACAAGTCATTCTTCGAAGTTCGCAGCACTGATTAGTTGTCAACAAAGCCAAGGAGAAATGTTGCTAAAGGAAGCAGAGCCGGAAAAAGCCCGACTAAAAGGGCGTGGCCGAAGTCGAGCCCGACGGACATTTCAGTCGCTAATTAATATTTCTTTTCCCACTGATCGTTAACGAGTGGAGGGAAAAATTTTGGAACATACCATTTTTCACTAAGTTTTGAACTAATGCACCGCAATTTGTACAATTTTTCATTAACATTTTCCCTAAAACTATTACTTTTCAATAAATTATGTAAAATATTTTGCTCAATTACATATTTTATGCCCGACGAGCATGTCGTTAAAATTGTTAACCCCAGCCTCGTTGTCTCGGAGCAAACTCAGCCTCATTGTCTCGGAGCAAATAGTCAACTCGGCTTTGCCTCGTTGACTATTCGCTCCTACACAACTCGGCTTCGTTGTCTAATTGTTAAGCCAGTATCGGAATGCAGGGCTACAGGTTCGATTCCTACGAAGCCTACAGTTTATTTGCATTTTTCGCAACTGCTCCTGGTCAGGTCTAGTAAATGTATAAAATTCACACTCCAAATCTCCATCAAGGCATCAACAAACCCCTTCTACAATTAGTAATTTCTAGTGTAGATGCCCACAATCTTGATATCTAACTATCTATACTGTATGACTATCCTTAGCGAAACCAGAAGAAGTGCAATTCGCCACACATATGTTTCTTACAAATTCAAAGTCTGGTGAAGTGAAAAAGGAACTGAACGGTGTACCCCTTTGAGATTTCCATTATCTTACCAGGGTAAATTCCTGATGTAAACAGGTGCGCTAAATTTTTCATCTTTTAGCTGACTGAAGTCCTTGATGATGAGTCGAACGACTCCTTCACGTTGAGCGGAATCCTCCTCTAATTCCATTTCCGTTTTAGAATATTCCCACTAGCTCTAAAAATGAAGACAGTATCTAATTTACTCTGCCCAACGTCAGAGATCTGAATCCTAAAAAGAACAAAAATGTTAAATGGTCTAGTACATTCGGTTGGTATATAGTCTGCGATATATTCTTACCAAAATCACGAAATATTGCAATGTAGATAGAGATAATATCGAAATATTTTATATTTTCTTGTCTAGCATCCGGGCCAAGTATTCTATGATCTCACTATCTCGTGTTTGTTTCTCAGATTTATATTAGTCAAAAACGTTTTAATTCGTTCAGACGTCTTGTAGATACTGGTAAATAAATAATTATACGTCGTGTCTTCTTTCGCCAAAGACCGCGCAGTAAATATAATCAAATTAAATCCTTCGGGAAAAATAGCATTCGCATCTCATGCTCCGTCACACAGCTGCCGGAGAGTACTCAGAATATGAAGATTTTGCGGCCAGGCGGTATTTCAAGCTTCCCGCCTTCGCCGCGTGCTCGTTAATACAGCCTGTTACGCAGGCTATGTGAACAGGAACATCCCTACTGTTACGATATGAACTTCCAGTTTATTACTTCCGATATGCAAATATGTTAGGTCACGCGATCAGACACACTTGGCTGAACGAGGACACGGATTTACATATTGTTGTTGTAACTTTTGTGAGACACTTTTTTGGTTAGACCTAGTAGAGAAAGGTTGATGTATATATGAGACATTAAAAATACTGATTACAAACATGGTGTCAGGTGTGAAAGTCGATTAAAATCAGCCCACAACAGCAGTAACTAGAGAATAGAACCGGTTCGAAGCGAAATCCGTGTACGATCACGACCAAAGACGTGAAAAAAGCAACATAAACATGACAGATACAAGCGGTGAACAGCAAGCCGTTGCTCAAGCTACAACGTTAAATTTTACATCTACTTTCCCGGTACCTTCCCCGATGGTTTGCCAGGGAGATAAAGTAGCCAACTGGGAGTCTTTCAAACAGCAGTGGGAAGATTACGAAGTCGCCACTGGCCTAGAAAAGCGAGATGCGAAAATTCGACTAGCCACGCTACGATCAGTAATGGGCAAAGAATGTATGCAGATATTTATGAATTTAAAACTAACAGTTGAGGAGAGAAAAGATATCGAGATATGCATCGGAGCACTTGAAGCACACTTCAAACCGAAACGAAACGTGGTATACGAGCGATATGAGTTCAACTTATGTTCTCAGAATGCAGAAGAGTCCGTAGATGACTATGTTAATCGCCTCAGAAAACTCGCCTCGTCGTGTCAGTTCGGGACACTGACAGATGAATTAATTAGAGACAGACTCGTGCTGGGAATTACGGACAGATCGACAAAATTACGACTTCTCAAAGAAGATGGTCTCAACCTAAACAAGGCCGTGAACATGTGCCGCTCAAGCGAAATTGCGAACATACAATTGAAGTCAATGTCAAGACCACAAACTTGAGAACTGTCCAGCGTTTGGACAATCATGCAATGCCTGTGGAAAACAAAACCATTTTGCAGCAGTGTGTCGGAGCACAGGAAACCCAAGAAACACAAGAGACGTGCGAGCCGTGAAACAGGAAGACATACCCGTTGATTCATCCGATTCAGAAGAATCGATTTTCACAATCGAAGATGTATCATCTGTACGATCGCAAGGGAAACAGTTATACGCGAATATGAAGTTCCAAGATATAGAGACAGAGTTTCGAAAGGACCTAGAGTGCCAACTTGACACTGGAGCGACATGTAATGTCATGAGCTACGACGACTTGTCACGAATAACCCAGATCGGATACCCAAAACTACACAGCTCGACAGCAAAACTCCGTTTGTTTGATGGTTCGATGATGAAACCTCTCGGTGTTGCTCATCTAAAAGTCGAAAGAAACCAAGTCACCGAAAACTTAGTGTTCCAAGTAATCGAGACCAAGAATAGGCCCCTGCTGTCGGCAGAAATGTGCGAGAAATTTGGGTTGATCAAACTTAATATCGAGCCAGTCAACGTCGTCAAGGAAAGTTCACCACTTCTCAGACGTGAAGAAATCCTAAGCGAATATAAAGACGTATTCGAAGGTTTAGGACATATCGGAGACGCGAGTTTTTCGATAGATCCAGAGAGCACGCCAGTGCAACACGCGCCACGACGTGTCCCCGTAACACTTCACACAGAAGTTAAAGAGAAATTGACTGAATTAGAAAGGAAAGGTATCGTTGTGAAAGAAACTGGTCCAACGGACTGGATAAGTAGTATGGTGGTCGTGGCGAAGCCAAACAAGATCAGAATATGTCTAGATCCCAAAGATCTCAACAAAGCGCTGAAAAAACCGAAATATCAGATGCCAACCCTCGAAGAGATGCTCCCAAAGTTAAGTAAAGCCAAGGTCTTCACCACTCTTGATGCGAAGGACGGGTTTTACCAGATAGCTCTAGATGAAGCAAGCAGCAAACAGACGACATTCTGGACCCCATTTGGCCGTTACCGGTACTTGCGTTTGCCATTTGGTGTCAATACCGCTCCAGAGGAGTTCGAGTGCAAGTTACAAGAGAAACTCTCGGATCTACGCGGCGTGGAAGTCCTGAGAGATGACATGTTGGTGATGGGTTACGGAGATACACAAGAAGAGGCGGAGAGAAATCATGACGAAAATCTCAAGGGATTACTCGATAGAGCACGCGAAGTTAACTTGAAGTTGAACAGCAAGAAAATGAACTTACGGAGGACAGAAGTCAAGTTCATGGGGCACCTTATCAGCAGAGACGGTCTTAAACCTGATCCAGAGAAGATAGCAGCGGTACAACATATGCCGAAGCCCACAGGGAAACAAGAAATGCTGAGCCTTCTTGGCTTTATCAACTATTTGGCCAAATTCCTACCTAAGCTAGCCGAAATTGCACAGCCTCTCAGGGACCTGACGTTAAAGGACGCCAGATTTTTGTGGTCATCCCAACATGACAAAGCCTTTGCTGAAGTGAAGAACCTGGTGAGCAAACATCCCGTACTGAAGTACTACGACGTAAGTGAAGAAGTTACGATTCAGTGTGATGCAAGTGAAAAAGGGCTTGGAGCATCGCTTCTTCAGAATGGCCAACCGGTGGCATTGCTTCGCGGACATTGACACAGATAGAAAGACGATACGCACAGATGTGTCTAGCCATTGTTTTCGGCTGCCAGAAGTTCTCTCAATACATATCGAGAAGAGATAAAGTCACGATAGAGTCAGATCACAAACCTCTTCAATCCATCTTCAAGAAGTCACTATTGGAAGCACCCTGTCGGTTGCAGAGAATGATGCTGAGGTTACAGAGGTACAACCTCGAAGTATTGTACAAACCAGGGCCGCAGATGTATATCGCAGACCATTTATCGAGAGCCTCGGTGAAAGATACCGGCACACCAGATGAGGACTTTCAGGTTTTCGCCGTAGAACTCGAAGGTATCGGTCCCCTGAATACGATTAAGATCAGCAGCGAGAGACTGGGCCAGCTACAGAAAGCAACCGAACAGGACCCGATCATGCAAACCCTCAAGGCAACCATACTGATGGGATGGCCAACGGAGAGAGAAGAAGTACCAATACATATCAGGGAGTTCTGGACATATCGCGAAGAGCTGACGCTGCACAATGGAGTCTTGTTCAAAAGCCAACGTATCATAATTCCCAAGGCTATGCGCACAGAGATCACTTCAAGGATCCATTCGAGTCATCTCGGTATCGAAGCTTGCCTGCGCAAGGCAAGAGACGCAGTATTTTGGCCCTCTATGAACAGTGAAATCAAATAAGTGGTAACTAGATGCTAAGTATGCGCAGAATTCCAGGTCAAACAACAGAATCAGCCTATGCAGTCACACGAAGTTCCTGATCGGCCATGGAGTAGAGTGTCAACAGATCTATTCACCCTTGGAAACAAGGATTACGTGGTCCTAGTAGATAGTTATTCAGATTTTCTCGAAGTTGGTAAGCTCAAAGGAACTACGTCGTCAGCCATTATAGAGTTTCTTAAGGAACAGTTCAGTCGACATGGCATCCCAGATGTTCTGGTATCAGATAATGGTCCCCAGTATA